ATGGGGCTGTCTTTCCTCACTTGTGATTTTCCAAAGGTACCTAAATGCCTTCAGAATAAAGCCCAGCCTCCAAACCCTTCATCCACCCTTTGGCTTAGTATTGCCCCTAGCTCATTTCACTCGCCTGCCTTTCACACACTCACAAGCCTCTCTCCCCACAGCCATCTCCCCGTAGACTTGGGTAGGGCTGGACTGCCTCCTTCCCATTCAGGTCGGGAGGGGCCTTTCCTGACCATGATCTTGTGTCCCTGCTTTCCAGTACATGATGCCCAGAAGCCTGGCATGAAAATGCATCTCATGATTAGCGAATTGAAACAGCAAGGAATAGGACTAAGTGGTATAGAGTAACGCTTGGGGATGTTAGACTATTAATATGTTAGCTGATAGAAAGTAGGCGTATATACACATCAAAAGTTCAAAGAACTTTCTTGGTTTTTTAATATTTTGGCCTGTACAATTTCTTGCAGGTGTGTAGCTAGTGGTTGTGGTCAAAAATTCAACACAAAATCAAACTTGAAGAAGCATATTGAACGTAAACATGAAAATCAGCAAAAACAATATGTAGTAAGTATGAATTACTTCATATTCTCTGGAATTTTTATACTCATTGCTTGCTTTTGTCATTTTCGTCAGGCAGATTTTGTCTGTCAGACCTGAATTTAGTCAGGCTAGCTTTCATAATGATAGTTCTGTCTTGAAAGCAAACATTTTTGTGCTAAAAAAAAAAAAATTGTGCTAAATAGGCTAGCTAAAACATTGTCACCCGAGAAAATTATGTAGACTACTATTGGTAGTTCTATTATTAATAGACTATTAATATTGGTAGTTCACTCTTTCAGATGTGTTGCTCTTTAAAGCCTCTAGAAATAGAATTGTACACTAATTAAATGGGGGTGAAAGTACCAAATTTATAATCTTTACAGTATTTCCCTTGAGAGAATTCTGTTACGATTTTTTTTTGATTTTTCTTAAGACTAACAAATCTTCACTAAATAGTGCAGTTTTGAAACTTGTAAGAAGACCTTTAAGAAACATCAGCAGCTGAAAACCCACCAGTGCCAGCATACCAATGAACCACTGTTCAGGTTGGTACTGTACTTATGTGGGTGAAAATCTCTTACATTTTCTGTGGGAATAAGATATAGTACAGGGGGAGATTTAAAAAAAAGTTGGGTTCAAAAGTGGTACTTAGGGGACTATTTGTGTGCCTGGAATTCAGCTGGGATCAGGCCCCTCTTTCTGCCCCTCTCCCCATGCAAGGCAAGTTCTTTGACGCTTCTTCTCTCACCCCACCCTCCCAATTTGTTTTGTGCCACACCTGGCATTGTTCCGGACTTACTCCTGGCTCTGTGCTCAGGGAACCATGTGGGGTGCCAGGGAGCAAACCTGGGTTGGCTGCATGCAAGACAGGAGCCTTAAGCTGCTGTACTATCTCTCCAGCCCCTGAATCTTTTTTATACGTGGCTGGTGGGTTATAGGATGAGGCACTGAAGCAGCGGAGAAGGACTTAGAAGTGCTGCTGTGTGTGGAATTGCCATGAAAGCAATGGACTGATGGTGCTGTTCTCACTCAGGTGTGCCCAGGAAGGATGTGGGAAACACTTCTCCTCCCCTGGCAGTTTGAAACGCCACACGAAGGTGCATGAAGGTAGGTGAGGACAGGGCCTGGAGGTGTGCTCAGCCTGAGGTTTACCACCGCCAACTGGGTTTATGTGTCTGATTCTCTGATGTGTAGGCCCTGGTTCTGGTGAGGAGCTTGAAACAGTGCTGGGAGGGGCACCATTCTTTATTCAAGCTTTAGGTCCTTGCCTAGAGGCAAGGGACTGGCCATCTGTTCTCCCACTTCTCGGCACTGGAACTGTTGTACAGAGCTAAGGTCCAAGGTCCAAGCACTCCTGCCCAGTGCTCGGTAAGTTCTGCTTCCTATGGAGGGAGCTGTCTGGCTGCTTGACCTTGTGTTCACCAACACCTGCCACTCTTCTTTGGTGAAATGTAAAGGATCAGACTTTTGAGTTCTTAGCTAATGGGATCTTTTTTTCGAAATTATTTTGGGAGCCAGAGCAATTGAACAGCGGGTCGGGCGTTTACCTTGCAAGTGGCAAACCTGGGTTCAGTACCCAGCATCCCCAGTGGTCCCCCAAACACCTCCTGGAGTAAGTCCTGTACAGAGTCAAAAGTTAACCCTGAATATTGTCAAGTGTGACCCAAAGCCAAAAAAAATCAAAATATATTTTTTAAATTAATAAATCCCTTGCACCCATGATCTGTTTCTGTCACTATTCTCCCGTTGTTCGTCGATTTGCTCAAGCAGGCCCAATAACGTCTCCATTTTGAGACTTGTTGTTACTGTGTTTGTCATATTGAATACGTCACGGCTAGCTTGCCAGGCTTTGCCGTGTAGGAGAGATACTCTCAGTAGCTCGCCGGGCTCTCCGAGAGGAATGGAGGAATTGAACCCGTGTCGGTTGGGTCGGCCATATGCAAAGCAAATGCCCTATGAGGTATTTTTATTATTTATATTCCAGTTCTCTAAATCCTTAAATTTATCAGATTTAAGAAAAGACAACTGATTTATAGTTGAAAGTGAGTAAAGTAAAAGTAAAGGCCCTCCTGTTGATCGTCGATTTGCTCGAGCGGGCCCAGTAACGTCTCCATTGGAGACTTTGTTGTTACTGTGTCTGGCATATCGAATACTCTCGGTAGCTTGCCGGGCTCTCCGAGAGGGGCGGAGGAATCGAACTCGGGTCGGCCATGTTGGCTGTGTGCAAGGCAGACGCCCTACCCGCTATGCTATCGCTCCAGCCCCCTAGTTGAAAGTGAGAGGCAGTCTAATTCTTTTTTTTTTTATGTGATGTTTAGTGGGGTGAAGCTTGGTTTAACCAGTGACTTTTTAATCTAGCACTAGCATTGCACAGCCATCCGTTTCCTTTCAGTATTGTGTATTTTCTTCCTGAGCTCTTCCCCACTTCCTTTTTGCAGTGTGAAACTCACAAGTTGGTCAGGTATGAGGAAGGCAAGGGATGGGCACGTCATGAATGAGATTTGATGGTTGGGGGTTGGCGAGGGACAAGGAATTGTTTACTGAGGGGGGTGAAAAGAGCAAGTGTGAAGAAAGAGGAAAAGTGGCTGGTTGGGAACTGGGGAATTGGGGTTCAGCCCTGGGTGCCTATGCAATGCCCTCCGCTGATCAAGAATAGGATGAACCAGGCATGCGTGAAATCTGAGGGAAAAATTCTGTATGAAGTTCTCTGCCTGTAATTGTCTGGTCTTAATGTACAATAGATTGTTCTTAGTTTTTATTCCCACGTCTTGGGACAGGACAAATTATTGGGAGGTATAAAAACATAAGTTTATAATTAAGCTTTAAATAGAATAATCAGAGAAGCAATGCACCAATTTTTAAATTTTTAAAAATTTTTTTTTATAAATAGGCTATTTATGTCGAAAAGGATGTTCCTTTGTAGCTAAGACGTGGACTGAGCATTTGAAACATGTGAGAGAAGCTCATAAAGGTAAGGCAGACTTTTGAAAGGACTGGTATAAAAATTAATTCCTTGTGGATTTGCTCTAAGTGCTTTTAAGAGTGAAGTATTTAAATACTTGCAAATAAAAGTTTCTATATTGTTTTGTAAAGATGGGCTTTCTTAGCTGTGTGTGGTCTCAAGATTTAGAAATCATAAAAAATACTAAAAATACATATATTAATATATAATTTTAACTTAAATGTGTTGATTTTTCCCATCTGTTCATAAGAAATGGGTTACATTTGTTTTTTCTGCTCCCCGACCACCCAGAGAATGTCATCTGCGAAGTGTGCCAGAAAACATTTAAACGCAAAGACTATCTTAAGCAGCATATGAAAACTCATGCCCCAGAAAGAGTCACCTATCGATGTCCAAGAGAAGGCTGTGGGCGCACCTACACCACTGTGTTCAACCTCCAGAGCCACATTCTCTCCTTCCACGAGGAATGCCACCCGTTTGTGTGTGAGCATCCTGGCTGTGGCAAAACCTTTGCCATGAAGGTGCGTTTCCCCCTCAGACACAGGCCTTCAGGTCTGCTACTTTGCTCCTGGACACCCAGAAGCACCGATAGGGCCAGTATCGGTCCTGCAGATGGGAAAGGCAGTTGAGCAGGGCTGGAGACTGTCCCCCAAAGCCTCGGCCAGAGAGATTCCTCTTCACTCAAGCCTGCAGGGTCACCAGTGGGACCCTGTCAAGTGATTGTCAAAGTGTCAGGTCTGGACTAGGAGCATCAATATTGCATGGGACCTCTGGGCCTCCAAGAATCAGAAATTCAGGTGATAGGGGCAGGTTGCCTGTATTTTAACAAACCTCCAGGGGATTCTTAGACAAGTTGAAGTTGAGAACCAAATCAGGACCTGAGTTCCCTCTAGGATGAGACACCTTTGAGGTATAGGTCAGAACCCTCAATAGGCCAAGAAAGAAAGTTGACAGTTTAACTTGTGGAGTTTCACTTTAAGATGCCAACTGTCATTTGTCTTTTTCCCTTCATGCAGCAAAGTCTAACCAGACATGCAGTTGTGCATGACCCTGACAAGAAGAAAATGAAGCTCCAAGTAAGTTGAGTTCAGCAAACTGTTTTGAAAGATAGCGCTGCTTCAGCCAGGTGCACTCTTACTGTTTCCAGTTACTCAGTATTGTGAGTAATTGAAGAGCAATTCCATGGAATTCACGTACACCTGTCAGGGTGTGCAACGATTATAAAATTAAGTCTGAGAGTTTGGGTTCTAAATTCTTATTGTCTATTCTCTTCATCTCCAAAGGTTAAAAAACCATCTCGTGAGAAACGGAGTTTGGCCTCTCACCTTAGTGGCTATATCCCTCCTAGAAAGAAACAAGAACAAGGCTTATCTCTGCCTATGGCCAGCAAGTCTCTGGACTGTCCTGAAGACAAGGTGCTCTCCACGGTTACAGTACTCACCCTCAGCTAACCATCAGGTGGCTTTGTTTAAAGAACGACAGACCAGTCATATTTTTTTTTTCTCTGAACACATTTGTCTTTAATATTAAAATCACTGATGTAGAACATCTGCTTTGTGATCCTTTCCATGGTCCTTGTTTAAAGGGTCTTCAGTCTGGATGCCTTGCGTGTCTCTGTAGGCCTTCTCCTCCTTCTTACTCAGTGGACGGAGAACACACATGACTGCACTTCCTCCTTTGACAGGCTGGGGCCGGGATGCGAAGGTAGCTATGCCAGGCAGAGCCTGGAGGAGCTGATTACAGGTCTCCTCCTGGGAAGGGAAGCCAGCCAAAGATTGGTTCAAAACCAGTATCTTGGCCCAGGTTTGATCCCCAGCACCACATGGACCCACCCCCAGCCAAGCACCCTTAAGAGCACCCCTTGTTCACTACTGGGCATGGTTCAAAAACGAAATCAAAACACAAAGTCCCAGCATCTCTCATTCTCCTGGGTCAGTGTTGTACTACCCATAAACCTAGTATTCCTGAATTGCTATTCAAGTGGTTAGCTAAACCAATTTGTACATTTTTGATGAAGCTGACTGAAACCAGTACAATCACCAGGCAGTTTTATGAACTCTGTCCATACTAAAGTATTATAGACTTGATGATTTTAAATCCCCACTCTGACAAAGCACTGAGACAACCTTTGACCATAGACAACCCTCTCACAAAAATAAGTAGCCCCCCTTACCCCCCTCCACATATACACGATGAGTCCTTGCTCGGGCAGAGTACCCCCTCTTCTTAAAAACTGTTAGCTCAGTGCAGATCCTAACAGTGATATAGAACTACTTGGGGTGATCAGAAAATCACAAGACACCCAGTTACGGAAATTCTGGATCATTTGGGCTGGGACCTGTAATTCTTATGTGTCAAGAAAGCTGAAACTAATGATTCCTTTTAGTTGCTGTGGAGTTAGCAAACTTTAGAAGCAAAATAAATACTTCAGACATCCTGGAATTGTAAACTGGAACACAGTTTTCCAGAAAAAAATTTTACTTTATATACAGTGTTTCTCATAGATTTTTTATAAAGAGGAAAAATTTTAAAAAATGAATCCATTTCAGGAGTGATAATACAATGGGTGAGGTATATACCTTGCATGGGGCTGACCTGGGTTTGATCCCTGGCATTCCATATGGTCCCCAAAGCATGCTAGGAATGTTAGGATCCTGTGTGCAGAGACAGGAGTAATCAATGAGCATCACTAGGTGTGGCCCCAAAACCAAAATGAATCTATTATTATAAAGTCTCTAGTCTTCCCATTTAATGTTCTCTATTCTAAAAGGGAAATATATGGCTTTAAACTGAAGCAGAACGTTTCCATGGGACAAAATATTCATGCTACAACGAAAAAGCATATGCTCCCATTCTGAAGAACAAACTAGCAAGCTAGTACTAGCTCTGGATGGAATGCCCATTTTTCTTGTGTGCACATTTCTCAGATTTTGTGTAACTGTTTTTTTTTTTTTTAAATAGAAAAACAAAAATACACCCAACTGAGTCCTCACTCATACCTGCTTTTACTTACCATTTTATTTTCTGGCTCTTCTGCCTTCTTTGCTTTCTTTATAGTAATTTGAACTTTGTATTTTTTCTCTATCCACTGCTGAATCTGTTTAGTCTTTGTATCCAAATCATGTTGTCCAATATTTGAAGAGAAAGTCAGTTCTTTTGTTAGTGTAGCTCCTAATTTGAAACACTGAGAGTTGGTGCTAGGACTACTGACCAGTTACATTGATGGGACCTGAACTTTACCACATACATGGCACAACATCATATGTGCACTTAATAAAGATAAAAGGGGCCCAAACTCTTGGGTGGCTTTTGTTTCACATACTTTGTTTGAGCAGGGGAGACATAAAGGTATGAAACAATTATTTCTAAATTATTGGAAATAGTTTAACTCTATGGTGAACATTAAACTACCCATTAAAGATACTAGAACAATTTAGAGTGGTTATATGAGGAAAGAGTTAAATCTTGATGCATTATAATGGGGAGATAAAATTATATAATTATATATTACATATAAAATTATGAGACAAAAATCTTCCCAAATGGAAAAAAGTAGGAAAAAAATCAAAAGAAAGTAAAAGAAAAAGTATATGTTTGAAGCAGTACTGCACAGGCAAAGGACCAAAAAAAGAGAAATTTAACTGGGATAATGTTCTTGCCTTGCACAGAACTGAGACCCCTATAAATCAAAAAAAAGAAAGCACTGATGAGGATAAAGGGAATATAAGGAGACAGTGCAGGAAAGGAAACTCAAATGGTGAAAGGAAATAAGACAGCTGCACTTACTTTTTGCACCGTAAGTTAGATAAGACCAAGTGTGGGTGAGGGTGTAAAGGCATTTCGGGGATCATCTGCCTCAGGGAATTACCAGTGTATGCTGACATACACTTGCTTATTGTTCAAAGAATAAAAACCTGGAAACAGGCTCAGTGTTCATGGTGATGGACTCCAAAACTCTGATGTATTATTTTGGGTGGAGAGGGTTTTAGCTTATACCTGGGTGGGTTCAGGGAATATGTGGATCAAACTAGAGACAGCCCCAAGCCAGGCAAGTGCCTCAGTCCCTAAGACTATGGTATTCTTCAGGCTAAATGGCATCTGGTAGTCACACTAAACTAGCAAGAGCTATCATTAACAGATATCTTGAAAATGGCGTTTCTAATTTTTTCTGAGGTGCTAGGAGTACTGAACCCACAGCTTCATGCATGTGAGGCAAGTGATCACCATTTTATTTTTATGTGTACAAATTATTTGGTTCTGTTTTTTAAAATATCTGCATTAACTGTATTTTACCGACATGAACTGAACTAAAGCTGAGTCCATGGGAGTGAACTGGCACCTTGGGGATAGAAGACGGAGCAGAAGGTATGAAGGGGTTGACTTGTGTCAGGGCTTTAAGACTCACATCCCTCAAATCTACAGCACAATGATGTAGCTTGTTCATCTGGGCAGTGAGTGGCAGGTGTTCAGTAGAATATTTGTTCTGGATTGCCTTTTAATTTCCAAAGTGAAAGCCATTTTTCTAAACAAGGGTCACTTTATTGGAACTAATAGCTTCCTGAAACAGGTACTCCCAATACCAAAACAAAAGCATGGGAGATAAATCCCTAAGACTCACTTCGGAGTTTGGAAAGTATCAGTGAACCGAACCACTGACATTAGGAGACAAAGCTAAGGACAAAAGGAAAATATTCTTGTTATTTTGCTGGTATTTTTTTTTTGTTTTCCCTTCCTTCAAGTTTACATGAAGAGACACCTACAGGTTTACATGAAGAGATAATAGGCCCTAAGTTCAAAGAAAAAAATGAAAGAAACGGGGAATAAAAAGAGGCATGGAAAAAGAGAGACCATACAGCAGTAGGACAAGATACTCAGCTTGCACACAGCTGAACAGGGTTCAATCCCCAATATATCTTAGGTTCCCCCAAGCACCATCAGAAGTGATCCCTGAGCACTGCCATGCTGACCCCCCAAAATGATAAGATGAAACACAGACATTAGAAATGGTGGTTAACACTATGAATTTTCAGTGCATTGCTGGCACAGGCAAACTTGGCAAATGTCATAATTTCAACTGTGGACTTGTAGTCCTCAGGAGTTTAGAGCAGAAACAGCATGATGCCTACCAGTTTTTGGTTTCGCCTTTTCCATCTCTCGCAGTCGCAGTCGTTCTTCTTGGATCTGAATTCCAGTCATGAGCTGGTACTCTGGAGGCTGCGTGCCCATGTTCCTCTTTACCAGCTTCAGGTCTCGTTCATTTAAGAGTCGAATCACATCTGCTCGGTGCATGTTCCCCAAATCATTGCCCTTCTCATCGATGACATGAATAATTCGTTCATGAATTTTTCTGCCAATGCTACCAAAGGCTTTTTCCTTGGTTCTTTCCCTCTCGGGATCTTCCACAGTACTGAAAGTTTTGGCATGGATTAAAGAGCACAGTCTCGGGGTGGAAGCAACAAGGGACAACTGTGTGAGTGCAGTATTTTGGATGAGATATTTACCAAAACATCTAATGCAAGTACCTTCAGTCTTCGCAGTTTGTAGTGCTAGTCTTTTTAGAAAAAGACAAGCCATCCTAGGATGGAGGGAGGAAACTTCATTAAAATTCAGTCATCTACTGATATTTTACTTCATAGTACACAGAAGGCACGTGTAAGCTGTAGAAAAGATGTCATCTGTGAATCGGAAATTCAAAACATAGCAAACTTTCAGAAGACCTTAGTCACACGACCTCATAAGCTATTGTTAAAACAAGTCGTTATTTTCAGAGCCTCCACCTTCCATATTTTTCTTACAGACACGTGATTTCATTTGATTTCCCAAGAATCTTGGAGTGTCAACTTCAAAAGCAAATGCCATCCTATGGGTTCACTGAAGAGGGCACAGTATTTAAAATCTTTTTTCTTTTTGGGCCACACCCAGCAATGCTCAGGGCTTATTCCTGGTTCTGCACTCAGGAAGTAATTACTCCTTGTGGTGCTTGGGGGACCATATGGGATGCCAAGGATCGAACACGGGTTGGCCGTGTACAAGGCAAACGCCCTATTTGCTGTACTATCTCTCTGGCCCCAGTATTTAAAATCTTGATGGTTTGTAGTTATCTATTCATAAGCTTGCTGGAATTAGCTACTAACAATTTACCAATCTAATGGCATAGAGAGGGTAGCACTGTAGTGCTGTCCTCCCGTTATTCAGCAGCCTTTGCGACTGCTCTCAGCTCTTCTGCAGGGAAAGAAAGCACTCTTCATACCAAGTACAGCTGCTTTCAAAGGCTACTGTAAAGAAAACACCCCTTTACAACAATGGAAAAGCCCAATATGTAACCGTGAAAAGGCCACATAAAGTCTACTACGTAACCCCAGTCCTTGAGCCCATGAATTTAAAATTTTACTTTGAAATTATTCGACTGAACTAAACTATCCAGGAAATGTTTAAAAGGTTTTTTAAAAAATGGGGGGGGGGGGGTAAACCCAGCATCATTACTCAGGGGTTACTCCTGGCTCCGCACTCAGGAATTATTACTGGTGGTGCTCAGAGGTTCATTCGGGATGCTCAGGATCCAATCCCAGTCAGTCATGTGCAAGGCAAACGCCCCGCCCTCTTAACTACCTGTCCAGCCCAGCTTTTAAATCTTGAGTTACAGGTTCAAAATAAACGGCTGGACTCCCCAACATTAATCTAAACATTAATCTGAAGAGTGGCCATCTCTTCTAGTAGTCCTATCTCAGTGAAAGCATTGCTATTTATTCAGTCACATGGGAACTCTTTTACTTCCCTCCTCGCTCTCACAGGTAACCTGACAACTCAAGCTCAGCCTCCTGTGTCCTAATGCCACCCATACCCACCCTCTTCCATATCCTGGGCTGGGCCAGAGACAGAGCACAGCAGAGAGGGCAGTAGATAGGGCACTGGCCTTGCACGCAGTGGATCCAGGTTCGACTCCGACATCCCATAGAGTCCCCTGAGCCCCCCCAGAAGTGTTCCCTGAGCAGAGTCAGGAGTTCTCCTGAGCACCGCCAGGTGTGGCACAAAAGCCAACATCAGGCCAAAACAAACAAACAAACAAAAAAACAAAACAGGGAACTAATAACAGATCCTTTCCTGTATACTTGGCAAGAAAAACAGTGATCGATGATTTCCCAACCTCTACTTTGGATAGCTCCTCCCCCGTCCTTAGAACTGTGTACTGGGGGCTGGAATGATAGCACAGCGGGTAGCGCCTTGCACGCGGCCAACCCGGGTGCATAACATATGGTGTCCCGAGCACCGCCAGGAATGATTCCTGATTGCATGAGCCAGGAGTAACAGGAGTAATTGTGCATCGCGGGGTGTTACCTAAAAGAGGAAAAAAAAAAAAAGGAAAAAAAAGAACTGTGTATTGGGAAACTCTGCCGGGGGTCGCAGAACGCCTAGCAAATGATATACAAAACCAAGACATAGCCCGCAAGGTTGCTTCACTAGGCGCGTGGGCGGCTACGCTCAGCGGGGGACGTAGCGGGTCGGGCGCGCGCGGCCCCAGGGTGGCGGAACGTAGCGGGGTCGGAACGCCACGGACACGGGTCCACTGCCCCGCCGGTCCCCGACTCTGCGGCAGGGCCTCCGGACCTCTTCGCGCTCCATCCTGTGCCCTGGGTGGCGCTGACCTTGTAGGGAGGCGACCTAGTGCAGGGCCGTCGCTTTTCCAGTCATCTCCCTCAGACCACGCGCCGGAGGGACCCTCTCCCACTCGGCGGCCCTCGCCCTTAGCGTTACCTGTACAGGGACCAGGAGGGGCAAGGTGTGGCGGAAGGAGCCAGCCAAGGACTTCGCGGCGTGGTCCGCTTCGCTTTCCGTAGTAGGCGGGGCTTCGACCGGTGTCCTCTTAAAGGAAAAGTGCCGGGGGCGGGCGCGGGGTGCAAGGGGGATGGGGGGGGGGGGCGAGGAACGAGGCTAGCGGGTGGATTTCGCCGATAGGAAACTGCCGACGGCCCCGAACCCGTTTTCTCTAGCTGCAGACCCAGACCGAGTTCTGGCGGCTACGTAGCCCTTCCTCTGCCAGTCCTTTGGTGGAGGACTTATAGGGAGCTTTCATAAACTTAAGGACTTTATAATTCAACTGAGATTCAGTGCTTAATGAAACATTCCATAAACAGAAGCCCAGCGAGCAGGGCGCTTTCCTTGCACGCCACCGACCAGTCTTCGATCCACGCCCTCCCACACGGTTCCCTGAGCACCGCCAGGAGTCATTCCTCAGTGCAGAGCCAAGAGTGACCCCCTGAGCACCGTTAGGACTGACTCCAACGTGCAGAACCAAGGAGTAATTTCTGAGCACCACCAGGGGTAGTTTTTGCGTGCAGCGCCAGGAGCGACTCTTGAGCAGTGCAAGGATGTGCCGCCGCCCCTACCCGCTCACCCCGCCCCCCCCAAAATAATTTCATTAACGGCTTCTGTTGAGCGTTAGGATCGACTGGACAGACCGAGTGGGGAGTAAACGGCCTCGGTCGATTCCTGGGGCTCGGCCCGAGCGCCCCGGGAGTGGAGCGAGGAGCGTGGGGCGGGGGGTGGGCGCGGACTAGACGTGTAACGTTCACGGAGTGTCGCTGGGGCGCTGCACACCGGGCGGCAGTTCACTACCGAGGGGGAGAAGCGGGCCTGGGGGCCGAGTCAGACTCCGCGGAGAAATCTCAGCCTCGGGTGCGCTCCTGGTTTCCCCTGATCCCTTTGACACCACCCCTGCGACCCGGAGCTACAGTCCCCAGCAGTGTGACCCTGGGGCTGGGGGAAGTGGGGGAGGGTGGGATGGAGGAGGGCCTCGCCTGCCTCTCTCACCTCTTCTTCAATGGGACACTGCACAAGGGCAGTGAGGACTTGTGGAAGCTACCTAAGCAGAGGTTTCATTGGTCGGGAATTTTCAGTTCTTGCACATCCTTAGCCCAGCGGACATGGTTTTGTGATCTGAAATTGTTGTGATGGAAAGGTAGGCTCTGGATCTGCAGCTTTGAATTTATGTTGAATTAGTAACATGACTCTTGAAATGATTTTGCTTGTGGGTGGAAAGTTTGAAAGATGTCCATCTTGTGTGCACTCGGGATGAACTTCCCTGTTACAAACAAAGAAAATGCTGACTTTTGGAAACTCCTTGTACTCATACTGATAAGACCCTATGATGTGAGTGATGTGAGGGTGCCTTTGCTAAGTGATGTATGATCATAATGAGTTTTCACGACTACATTAAGTCCCTGAGCTTAACCTAAGGTTTCAGGTGCAGACCCGTGGGTCTAGTGGTCTGATGTAAGTAAAGACCTCCTTGTCCCTACTCACACACACACACACACACACACACACACACACACACACACACCCTTGATTTTTTTTTTACCTTATTTTGCCTTATTGAATCACTGTGACATAGACCCTTACAAAGCTGTTCATGATTCGATTTCAGTCATACAGTATTCCAACACCCATCCCTCCACTAACATTTTCCAGCACCAGTGTCCCCCATTCCCTCCCATCACCCCCCATCCTCCACCCCCTGCCCCTGCCTGTCTCTATCTATGGCAGGTGCTTCTCTCTCCTCTCTCTCTCTCTCTCTCTCTCTCTCTCTCTCTCTCCCCCCTCCTCTCCTCTCCTCTCCTCTCCTCTCCTCTCCTCTCCTCTCCCTCTTCTCTCTCTCTCTTTCCTTTTGGGCATTGACACACCCTTGATTTTGTCTTGGTGTGGGAGTTTTAAACCAACTCCTGTTACACAAAATAAGAGACTGGATGAGGGATTGCCTTTTTTCTTACAGGTGGGGAAACTTAAATAACTCCTGCCGAGCAGAGATCAAGTGTCCATTGGCCACAAATTCCATGATAATGCGGTGCATGTTTGTGGAAACGGTGCCAAGGTGCACCCACCAACATTTGGGATGCAAGTGACCAAAGCCCAAGGTTAGTATCGGTCATTTCCACGTTAGAGAAGAGTTACAGATTTTTCTCCTCAGAGACTCCTTAATATCAAGACATTCCTGCTTGAAGCAAAGAGCTCAGGATCTGGGGAAACAGTAGGTGCTGTCCAGTGCAAGTACTGTGCAGTCCCGATTGATAGCATTTGGCACTGTGGCTACCAGGCACTATTCCTAAATGTTTTCTTCCACAAGTTTTTTTATTCCTCAGGACAACCTTGTTACCCATTTCACAGACGCGGGAGTTGACCATAAAAAAGTTATTTCATCTGAGGGCCCACAGCTAATAGCGGAATCAAGGATAAAAACAAAAGTGTCTCATAGAATTTGGTGTTGACAAGAAATGGACTTTCAGCTGCTGCTGGAGCAAGGTGAAGTGGTTGTGTTTGTAAAGTGATTGCCTGAAAAATGTAAATACATTCTCTGCAACCTTGAAATGTGTTAGGAAGAAGCAGTTCACAGACAGCTGATAGGAGTCACTTGTTTGCCCTTCCCCACTGTGAACTCCCTAAACCCCCACATTTCTACTCTGCCTAGAGTAGATAATTGGGGAGATATTTCAGACTTCCTTCATCAGGTGTCTTCGGAAGAGGACCTTTAGCATTCCTGTAAGGAGACGAGCAGAAAAGGGGATGCATGACAGACATGCCTTCAGATGGAAACTTTAGTTTTTACCTTGGCCTGTGGTCCTACCTGGACCAGGCCTGGAGTTCAGGGCTTTTGCAGTCTTTTCTTCCCCATCAGAAGTGGAATGAAGCTCAGGATCTACTACCCCACCTGGGCACATTCTAACCACTGAGTCACCTCTTGGACTCTTTGCTGGGGGTCCCCAACAGCCTGAGTTTCTGGCAGGAATGCTCTTGAGTAAAGGCCGTGGAAGAGGCAACTGGCTCTTCCAGGGTTCCTTCCTGTGCACATCTGTGTGTGTGTGTCTGTGTGTGTGTGTATGTGTGTGTGTGCATTGGTGTGTGTAGTGGGGCCCACACTAGGCTGTGCTCAGGGCTTACTCCTGGCTCTGTGCTCAGGAATCACTCCTGGTGACACTTAGGTAGCATTTATTTCTTCCTTTCATAGGCTCCAATTTTGTTGTTGATGTTTTGGTTTGGGGGCCACACCCAGCAGTGCTCAGAGTTTACTCCTGGCTCTGTGCTCAAGGATCACTTCTGGTGGGCCTGGGGGGGAGCGATAATAGATGCCAGAGATTGAAGCAGAGTGCAAGGCAAGCACCCTACTCACTGTATTATCTCTCTGGCCCATATAGCCTTTGCTTTCTTTTTTAAAAAACATTTGATAATTTAATAATAAAAATTAAAATGATAACAAAAATATATAATAAAAATAACATACCAATAGAGTTTTAGCAGATAACCAAAGGCCCACATAATGCCTGGACTTAAAAATAACACTTTATCTCCTTATAGGATCTCTCTTATCAAAGTATCAACATTTTTAATTGTCGTTTTAATTGTCAAGGGCTGGAATTCTTAAACTTATGAACTGTTCATCTCACATCAAATTAATTAAAAGCAAATTTGATTTACATGCTCTATATATCCTTGTTATAATATTTTCAGTAACTATTTCCCCAGATTTTTTTAAGGTCAAGCCTTCTGTATTTATATTTTGTCCACTCAGTCTATTTAGGTAGCACTGTAACACTGTTGTCCCATTGTTCATCTCCTACGATAGCACAGCGGGTAGGGCGTTTGTCTTACACCCTGTGGACCCGGGTTCAATTCCTCCGTCCCTCTCAGAGAGCCTGGCAAGCTACGGAGAGTATCCCGCCCGCACAACAGAGCCTGGCAAGCTACCTGACGACAGGTGATACATTTATGTTTTGTAAATTGAAATTGGTTCCTTCTGCATTGCATCCCATCCCATCTGGTGTGCTACTCCTGGTTTTTCAATGTTGGGAGTCTGTGATGTTGCTCAGCCTCATTCACAATCAGGCAGCCAGGAAGTCAAACAGTTTTAACAGAGTGACATAGCTGTGGTTAAACTTGTAACTGGTGGCGACTGTGGGGCATGTGTGAAACTGACAGGTCAGCAAGAAGTACAGGGAGATGAGGGAAGGTAACCTATCCCTGACTCCGTGAAAGCCCGGAATTTCAGTCACAAAACCCACATACCTGAGTTTTTCAACAAATTAATTTCTGGATGGTAGCCTCCACTTTCTAAGGCACCCTCATAAATCCTTTTTTTTTAAATCACTATTATTAAAGAAAATGTTTCACTTGTTATAGAGCTATTGTAGCTATTGTAGGGCTGGAGCGATAGCACAGTGGGTAGGGTGTTTGCCTTGCACGCAGCCAACATGGCCGACCAGAGTTCGATTCCTCCGCCCCTCTCGGAGAGCCTGGCAAGCTCCCCGTGATGTATTCGATATGCCAGACACAGTAACAACAAAGTCTCCAATGGAGACGTTACTGGGCCCGCTCGAGCAAATCGATGATCAATGGGAGGGCCTTTACTTTACTTATTGTAGCTATCCCAGAGCTACCACATTAATCTCTCTACCAACATTTCCACTCAAAAACTGATAGAATATATAAATGAAAGAGTAGTCTCTAGAACTTTCCCAATTGTTATTATTGCTACCCATCATTTACAAAAACCCCAAAACCCCAAATACCAAAAATGTCACTTAGTAAGTCTTAAATCCTGTGAACACCATGTTAACTGTATCTGAAATGAACTGTTTTCTCACAGAGTGCTCATGATACATCAGAAAGGAAATCTTGGTGCTGGAGCGATAGCACAGCGGGTAGGGCATTTGCCTAGCATGCAGCCG